TGACCCCCCGCCCCCGTGACCAAAGCACTGACTGGAGCACAAGACGGCGGAGCCGACTTCACAGCAGGCATGCCGGAATCTCTCGGGAACGCGCGCAGGCATGCCGGAATCTCTCTGACTGATGGGAAAAAGGCCGCGCCGCCGAACATGAACTCCTGGAGAGCTTCGGCTGATAACCCGTAATTTGCCTGTCATATCACAACAAGTGCAGCATCATGTCAACTCTGGATGGAAGGATTCTTAAAGCAACTACATGTCAACACAAGTGATATAGAATCGGCATTTTCTTGGTCTTGGGATCCTCCTTTGGTCTCGGACTGAGTATGCCCAACTATTCGGGCACCCCTGGTCCAGTTCGCCATCAGCGTTTCGGCGCGTGGTTGGCCATCCTCTTCAGGACCTGCCACAACCAACCGCACGGGGCAGGCCGACGCCGTTACCTCTGGGACTCCTTCGTACACACCAAAGTTGCCAGAAGATGTCAAGCAAAGTTGTTGGAACCTGCTGTTTTGGCCTTCAAAGAAGGGAGGGGACAACTAAAAGTCCACGCATAGGGCGCGCGTTGCACGTTGCCGGCCTCAAGGCCGTTCTCGAAACAAAATGCTTGCAGTGGGCGCCCTCTCTCTCCAAAGTGAAACTGGGTGTGAAAACCACCTGCGATGCATAGTTTTCGGCGTCGCCTCCCAGCAAACTCGACCTCTTGTTGTGAGAACGTGTAGCAATCAAGAAAAACGGCACGCGGGCAGCGCGCGTGCGGCATGTGCACAGAAGAGCGCGCAGGCAATGCCATTGATATTAATGTATACTGCCAGCACGCGGCCAAAACGCGAACGCGTGGCTGCGACACCTCCCGCGCGCCGAGCATGCACGCAAATCGCCGCCCCAGCGCATCGCAACATGCCACTTTAGTTCCGAAAGCTCCCCAAGCAAAAGCCCTCGCCGATCAAGGGTATGTACACGTGCGTTTGTGCCGTAAACGTTACACTCGCAAGTAAAATTAACATTGAATTCTGGTGAAACGTCTCCTGTACCCCTCGACCAGCGTTGCCCCTAGCTGCGGCCGCCTGCAGCTGCTGGGGCAGGTGGATGTCCTGCCCTACCCCCGCCCTTGCCCTTTCTACCAATACCCTTGCCAGTGCCGCCGCGCAGGAGCTTGTCTGAGTGCGTCTTTAGAAGCCCTTGCCACTCCGTGTGTGCGATGAGGTCCTTCTCCCAGCCGTCGCCGTACTTGATGCTCAACGTTCCCCTCGTCACGCTCGCCTCCATCACGGTTTCGGGCCCCATCTTCATCGCGCCCGCTTCCGGGTCCACCCAGAACGCTTTCTTCTCGAAGCCCCGCGAGACGAATGGCTTCTTCGCGCCGAACAGAACGGACTGGGGGACCCGGACCTCGAGAGGAGCATCCGCCTTTGCCCAGACTGGCTTGTCCTCTAAATAGACACGTGCGGCTCGGAGCTTTGACGCTGCAGAGTTTCGATCGGCCGTCGAAGCAAACTTGCCGAAGATGATGCCCGAAACGCCCCCCTTTGAGTAGAACTCGTCGGCGGCCGGGGAATTGCACCACCTAGCCTGGTCTTTCAACCATGTCTCTGCCTCCGCCTGACCGTTAAATCCGAGAAGGCTGCCAAGCGCAGCGGTCTCCTGCTTGGAAGCGGCGCCGATGGAGCCGATGGGGCCGATGGAGCCGGCGGCGCTCCTCAGCTCGGCAATCTCAAGCTCCATCGCCTTGATGTGGTTCATGACGTCCTCGTGTGCGCTCGATGGGACGTTGGACTTCTCCGAGCTATTCTAACAAAAAATAGCATAGGTCGCTGCGCGGGGCGGCGGAGGTTTCGTGACAATTTCGCGCCGGATCCAACTTCCCCAGAGACCGACGCCTGCCGCGCCGGCGAGCACGCGGCAGCCGGGCACCCCTGTGCGTGGAGCGCTAGGTGAACGTGACGTCCGCCAACGTCTTTTCAGTCCACTTCACGAAATGGACGGCTTGGACCTCTCTCCGCCACGTCCGGTGGAGGTGCAGATATCTACACCGGCAGCTCCAGGTACTACGCCTGAGGGCGCAGAAGCACGCCCGGCAGCATTACGCGAGATCGCGAACCTGTTCAGGCAGGACGTCCGACCTCTGCAGACTGCCATCGCCAGCCATGAGAATCGCCTGGACACGAAAATGCCAGATTGCCAGGTCTCAGCAAGCACTGCGAGGATATTTCTTGCGTCGCGGAAAATGAAAAATCTCGTCTGTCTGAGAGCGCGCGCCATGAAGACGCGGACGCGCGCGGGCGCGCCACCCCGGCATTGCCCGTCGCCGCCACGGGCGGCATGTTTTACGAATGGCCCCACTCGCGTGAAGACGCACCACTGGCGATGGGAACGATCCACGCGCGGCGAAGGGCATGGCTGCGCCGTGCGCCGGCTGGATTACCCGCAACCTCCGGGACGCCCCACTCGCCTTCGAGCGGTGCCCCCACGCTTGCTGCGAAATCGTGACAAGCGCGGGATACCCCACGCATCCAGACGCCTGCCTGGCACTCTGAGGCGTTCGCGCCCGCGCGTGCGGAAGCGCCCAAACGCAGCACGCGGTGGCCTTCGGCCACTTGCGAGCGGCACCTCCACGCATGGAAGACAGCGTCGACCACGGACGGAAGTCTCGCAACCCCAGACGTCCGCGCGGCATTCAGAGGCGTGCGCCGCCGCGCGGGCCGATGCGCCGAAAAGCATGGCGCGGTGGCCCTTGTTCACCTGTGACGGCCGCCAGATCGCGCCGGCCTTGCACGGCCTCCGCAGAGAGCTGCCGCCCATGTCTGTCGCGCCCAGCCAGGCTGGGTCTCCTTGGGGCGCCCGGCACCGAGGGCGGAGCAAGGGGCAATCGGCGCCGGATTCTCAGTGTGAAATTCGATATGGATTTCGATGTGGGTTTCGAATGGATTTGCGAGGGCGGTCAAGTGCGTGAAGGGTTCCAAAAATTCGGCCCCATATTTCCACTTCGAATCCAACTCGAAATCCACTTTCGAAATCGAACCCGAAATCCACGTCATCCACTTTCGACATCCATGTCGAAATCCATTTCGAAATCCACGTCGAAATCAATTTCGGAATCCACCAGAAATCCATTTCGAAATTCACACCTTCTCAGGTCGACATGGATGGCAATATGCTGTGGGCGGACTACTGAGGGAAGGATAGACTGCGAGGTTTTGAGGTCGAGCTGCCTGCCATGCGCGCCGGGTATCAACAGCCGGAAGCGCGAAACCCTCGCAACGCAACTGCCCGCGACCTCGCCCGGCCCGGTGGCAAGCATCAAGGTCACAAGTGCGAGAGGGGGCCCCCGCGCACGCAACTCTGCCGCCGAGAAGACGTAGTCCTGCAAGGGCTATGCTTTCCAGAGATGGTAACAAAACTAAGGTGTGCGTACCCAGGCCTGAACCAAAGTTAGGGCGCCTTCTCCCCCGTAAAGTGCAACGAACATCAGCAACTTCTGAACGAGGAGAATGACCAGGCCGAGGAGGGGGAGAGTGAGGAGGCGTTTCTATATACACTGTGCACGCGTTGAAATCACATGGGAAGGCCGGCAACACTAGCCGATGATATGCACGATCGCTGGGAAGCACGGGCAATTTACATTTCCGCTGCGATTTTCACACGAGGTTTCCTCGCGTCTCTCCGGGATCTTCGTTCCCGCCGAGAGTTTCAAAATCCACTCAGGATTCATTGCAGGGACCTTGTAGCCTGAAAAATGGCGGAGGTGCAGGAGCGCATGGAGAACGTCGAGATCCGCATCACCAACTTGGAGTACACCCGGACGGAATCACAAATCGACGCCCAAATCATCTGAATGTCGAAAGCAAAACGCACGTCGCTTAGCGAAACCGTCCGGGAACAGCACCGGCTCACTCGAATGCCAGTGTCGCGTGCACATGTGCAAATTTCCTCCGTCGGCTTGTCTGGGCGGGCGCTCTCTCAATGACGCGAACGGCACCCGTGCACCGACTCCCCTCAGGCCCCTGTTAAGGCTTCAGCAAGGTCCGGCTGCACCGAGAGCGCTCAAATTTTATGCATAAGCCGATTCTTGTCCATTCGATCAGAGGTTCCAGGGACAGCAGAGCAGAAAGCAAAACAAAGGCAGAAGCTGAGACGGTCATGGACGCATCAGTCGGCGAGCAAGCCGGTCAATTTGCTCCCGCTCCAACGCGGTACGGTGCAGAGGCAGCTCGGCTCTGAGAGGCCGGGAGGCTATGCACCGTACCCTTAGGTCGGGCATGTCCCCCTAATGGAAAATACTCCAAAGATATCCCCAAATACTGCAAGAATGGTGGACAAATCGTCACCAGACTCCTGTAGAGGGACATGCCCGACTTAAGGCTATCAACCCACTTTTCCTGGACCGAGCAACGGCGACGCCTCGGGAGACGCCACCGCGGTGCGGTGCACACAGGCCGTCCGCGGCTCGGGGTCGCACTGTCACTCGGGCCAGCCCGAATACCCAGGTCGGCCAGGGCCCTGTCGCGAGGCCCAGGCGGCCGCTCAGCAGCTCCTAAACATTCCCAAATCCACAGGCCAGTGGAGGGCGGACCAGGGAAATCGGCCCCACGTGGCTCCCACACCAGGAGCATCCAGAGGGGATTGGCTGACCCCTGTTAGCACTGACACCCGTTACTGAGTATCGCTGAACCGATCCCTGTCCCCACTGGCGTGGCCTGGGCCCCACTGGCCGACGTACCCCCCGCTAGATTGGGATACAGGCTGTTTCCTTCGGGTTGCGAGGGGTATATCCCCACCTGGGGTGGTGGGGTGGTGGGATGGTGGGGATTGGAATGGGGCTGTGGATGGGCATGGGGACCGGTGGTGCTGGAGATGGCTGGGGATAGTGGGGATGGATGCGGAAGTGGATGGGGGTGTGGCTGGGGATGGGGATCGGGGTCGGTCCAACGATCCTGGGCTACGTGAGCCCCGACAGATCCCAGAGCGGACCACGCCTGCGGCGAGAGGGCGGGGGGCCGCTCCGGCAGCCGCGCGGCGAGGGCGGTGTGGCGGTGGGCCGCGGGGCTGGCTGGCGACGGCGCGGCCGCGGCCTCAGGCGCCGTCGCGAGGGCTTCGGCGGCGAGGGACTCGGGTCAGGAGGGCACCGATCTTGGCCAGGCCCGTCCTGGGCCCAGGATCGGTGTCTGCGCCCTCCCGGCCTGGGCACGAAGGCACATGCATCGATCCTGAGCCCAGGGTCGACATGGCCAGGATCGGGGTAGGTGTACAGGTGGTGTCCTCCGATCAGGGGCAGCGCTAGGGGGGGGCCGAGGCGGTATCATGGACATCTGGGACAGGGACAGGGGGAGCCGAGGCGGTATCATGAACATCAGGGGCAGCGCTAGGGGGGAGCCGAGGCGGAGGTGCTGCCCTCCGATCAGGGACATCTGGGGAGGTATCATGGCCGAAGCCATGACATCCGCCCGCCCTGCTGGGATGGCCGCGGGGGGGGATAAGGGGAAGGGAGGGCTAAAGTGGATGCTAAGGGTGGGTAATCTCTGGCGACAGCTCACTGGTGACCAAAGAAGCTTGGGCGGGTTCGATAACTCGGCTAAGTGGGCGCGGCCAACTTAGTCCAGATCTTAAGCCACTTAGGGTACTTCTAGCCTGCTTACCAGTATGTCAGGCCAGAGAAACTCAACCCACCTCAGCATCCACTTGTACTTAACCCACCTGAGCATCCACGGACGATGGGAGGTCGATGCATCCCCCCTGAGAAGGTCCCCTCTACACGTTGCCCCCTAGCTTTCAATTTATGGCTGCGGTCTCCTGCGGCCGTTCGGGAGGATCTGGACACCCCCGAACCGACCTCGGCAAGGTGCAGCCGCTCGAACGCTTCCCGAGGCTGGAAAACTGCCACTGCCAAGAATCGACGAACAAGTACAAAAACCTCGAACCTCTATAAGTTCTGGTCCCCCCCCCTGAGCAGATCTCCCCCCTGAGCTTGCCCCTGATGATCTGAATCCGAAACACTGCACCTGGGACGGGCCGTCGGAAGGAGCGCGCCTGGGGCAAGGGGGAGGAGGGGGCGAGGAGCAGACCCGACCTCCTCGGCTGGCACCCCAGAAGGAGGTGCCCGGCCTTCTCCTCCTCCTCCTCATCATCATCATCCTCCTCCTCATTCACAATTACTCAATTGAATACTACTATCTTCTCTCCCCTGAGTCTGTGGCGGATTCTGTCTCGGAGTGTTCGGCCCCCCCCTCGCGTATTGTGTTTTCACACAGGATGTCGGCGAGTTGGGTTTTCGCTTGTGCTTTCTTGTTCAAAATGCTGCTCGCTGATGCGCTGGCCTCATTTTCGGGCTTCCGCTCGTTCCGAATCGTGCTCCCGCTGCAGCGCTGGCTTCATTTCCGCGCTTCCGCTCATTCCGAATCGTGCTCCCGCTGCAGCGCTGGCCTTATGTCCGCGCTTCCGCTCGTTCCGAATCGTGCTCCCGCTGCAGCGCTGGCGTCATTATTTCCAGCGCCATGCCACGGCATGGTTTTCGGCACTTCCAAATTGGACCCCGAAACTAGAAAATGCCTCCCCGAAGCAACCATTGGAAATGATTACACATTCGGTGCTGATTCCTTCATTTTTTGGGCTGCAGAAGCCCCCCCCCACTTTAGGGCGTCAGGCTACGCGTTGATCTTCAACACCATGCTATGCCATCTAATGCTATGCCCTGCTACGACATCCGACTGTGCGAATCGAGAGGAGATCTACGCCATGGTTAGGGATGGGAGGGAATGGTAGGGCGTCAGATATGACGCGAGCGCACCTAGCTCGCCCTCAACCCCCTCCCCCTCCTCCTTCCCCCTCCTCTCCCTCGCCTCCTCGGGGGGGAGCCCGCCCATGAGTGATACCGTGATACCTGCTTTCCTGTACTGTTCCAGACCTTCTCCCTGATCATGTGCACGATATTGTCCACACACGGGCAAGCTCCGAGCCGCTGCGGGACGGACCAGGGGCCTGTTGGAGCAGGAAGAAAGGCACTCAGGGCAGTAGATTGGGATCCAGTAGCGGGGGGCAGCACTCACCCACTCACAAGCCGTGCGTCCAGCAGGGCGCGTCGGCATGATCACCACTTCTGGCCATCGCATGGGTAATAATTTAGATAGCATAGCACGTATAGAACGCAAGGGACGGGAGGCGACCCCAATCCGCACCATATTTAAGTCTAGTAGCAGGGGGTACGGCGACCCTTGCCAATACCCGACTTTGCGTGGGGATTTCGTCTGATATACAATTGGGGGGAGTCCATGTTCCATATGGGTGCCTCTAAACAACCCCCCAGAGGTGCATCTCCGAGTTCCGGTTCTTCTCCGAGCGGCTGGTTTTTGTTCGGGGAACTCGGGATTGTGGGGAAGATCGTTCGCCTGCGGAGTGGGAAAGCGCTCGGGGATGACCCACTTTCATCGACCCGCCCGTGTTCATTCCGGCGACCTGCTGAGTCGGCAGCGCGCCGAGGGGAGAAGTGAGAGAGGCCAGGCTTTCTCAGAAGCCGGCGGGGATTATCAGAAACCCTCCAGCCGGGGATTCTCAGAAACCCTCCAGCCTCCTGAGACCCCCTCCGTCTCTCCAGAGAAGGCTGCGAGAGCGGAGGTCCTCTTAGCATTCAGAAAATGCCCACCCCTCTGCATTCCCTCTCTGGGCGCGCCGCCGACTATGGGACACACGCTGGCGGGCAAAGTAATGTTTCAAGGGGTCGTGGCCGAAACTGCACCCGGCATGGTCGCGAGAGTACGATTGCTGCGTAGAGTGTAAGGAAGCCTCAGGCGAATCGGCTGCCGGACCGTCTGATCTGGGACGTGACTGCCCGTCCCCCCCTTTGGTGGAGCTCATCCGACGCCGCTTCATGTCTAACCCTGGAGCGCCACAGTACTAAATTATTAGGATTCCTAAAACCATTTCAAACAAATAAAGGAATCCTATATTTTTTAGTAATACAATTTTAGGAATCATGTTGCACCCACATTTGAGGATTCGGCGCGTCCCGACCGCCCTGTGGCCGCCCCGTGGCCGTTGTCGCAGCTCGCTGCCGTCGGCAGTCGGCCGTCGTCGGCGCGAACGTCGTGAGGAGGAGGAGGAGGAGGAGGAGGAGGAGGAGGAGGAGGAGGAGGAGGAGGGAGGAGGGAGGAGGGAGGAGGGAGAGGAGGAGGAGGAGGAGGAGGAGGAGGAGGAGGAGGAGGAGGAGGAGGAGGAGGAGGAGCCGCATTTTCGCATTTCGCATTTTTCGCAGAAAACGCCGCTCCCAGCGATAGTTTTGAAAAAAAAACTGAATTGACGCAAGCAATGTTTTTTTCAAAACCCTCGGTGGGAGTGGCGTTTTCTGCACTTCGCGCCGTTTCGGCTTTCAGACGGCTCAAGACGGCCTCCAAGATCGTTCCAAGATCGCCCACGAGGCCTCCAAAATGACACCGTGACGGCGCAAGAGGCACCCAAGACGGCCGCAAGAGGCCTCAAGACGGCCCAACAGGATTCCAAGACGCCCAAGATGGCCACCAAGAGGGCCCTGAAGTGTCCCAAGAGGGCCCGAAAACCACCCAGAGAGGCCCCCAAGACGGCTTCCAAGACGGCCAAAGAGCGTTCTTTAGGATCTCGCGGGCAGCGTGTGGGGGGCCTCCATCATCACCTGTTCCTCCTCTCTCTCGTTGCCGCCTCCTCTCCTGTCCTCCTCTCCTTCTCCCTCTTCATCGTCGTAAGCCGCCGACCCTGCGCGACAACGACGGCGACGGCGACGGCGGCGGCGGCGGCGAGAGAGAAGGAGGAGGAGGAGGAGGAGGAGGAGGAGGAGGAGGAGGAGGAGGAGCAGGAGGAGCAGGAGGAGGAAGAGGAGGAGGAGGACGAGGAGGAGAAGGAGAAAGAGAAAAAGGAGGATAAGAAGGAGGAGGCGGAGGAGGAGGAAGAGGAGGAGGAGGAGGAGGAGGAGGAGGAGGCCCAAGGGTTGAGGGCTGAAAAAAAAGTGCCTGGAACTGTTTTCGAGGCCCTCTCGGGCCGATTTGAGGGCCGAGGCCAACGGGGTCCAAGAGATGGCAGGGTCGAACTCTCACAGACAAACCTCAGGAATATCCGAAGGGCGGGGTAATGAGATAGGGTGCGGTGACGATGGGTTGGCGATGGCATGATGACGCAAGCAACGCAATGGTAGCGATGGGGTGGCGATGGCATGATGCCATGGCCTCGCACTCGCGTAGCTGGTCTCCGAATCGCGTAGCTGGCCTCTCACTAGCGTAGCTGGCCTCTCACTCGCGTAGCTGGCCTCAAGAGCGTAGCTGGCCTCAAGAGCGTAGCTGGCCTCTCAGTCGCGTAGCTGGCCTCAATGGCGACAATCGCTGGCCTCTCAGTCGCGTAGCTGGCCTCTCAGTCGCGTAGCTGGCCTCTCAGTCGAGTAGCTGGCCTCAAAAGCGTAGCTGGCCTCAAAGTGTAGCTGGCCTCTCTCTCGCGTAGCTGGCCTCACTCTCGTAGCTGGCCTCAGTCGAGTAGCTGGCCTCACTCGTAGCTGCCCGCCACGTTGAGCAAGGCCCCGATCGCCGCGCACGTCTTGGAGTCGTCGGCCAACTTCTTCTTGATGTCGGCGGGGGTCGTCGGGCCTGGGTGGTCCTTGATGACCTTGTTCTTCACCAAGAACTCGTACTCCTTGATGAGCCCATCAACGACAGCCTCCTTCGGCACGACCTTCTGATCCAAAAACTTCTTGTGGTCGGCGTTCACGGCGCGGGCCGAGCAGACCTGCACAACCTTGAGCCTCATCTTGATGAGATTCGTCAGGGCCTGACTCACACGCGTCATCGCGGCGTTCATCTCGTCTGCCGTCGGCGCGGGAACACTGTTCTGAGGAAGAGCTGGGCGCTGGCCGTCCTGGAGGTAGCCCTGCAGCTGCTCAAGGTCCATGCTGCTCCCGAGGTCGAACTCGGCTTGCATGTCCTCGATGCCGCTCGCAAAGCCGACCGCCTCAGGGTAGATCTGGAATTGATGTCCCCCTGCCCCCCCTCCCCTCCCCACGTTTCCCAACGACGGCTCATCCACCTCCACCTCCCTCGCCGCCACCTCTCCCCCGCCTCCCCCC